CATATTAATTACAAGTATAAATGTTTTGTTGTCTTGTTACTTTGGTTTACGCATTTTTTTGGGTATGACTAATGACTATGACTATCGATATACTCCATATAAATATTGCATATATATTTTTGCCATCCTTGAGATTGCATTTGTTTTAAAAGCCTAGGCACACACACACACACTCCCACACACAACACACACTCGATCGCAGTGATAATCTCTAGTGGCAACCACTTGAAACTGTAACCGTAACTGTTTCTAGCTGTTAAGTTTGGCAAGGAATCTTAGCTTTAACCTTAGACTAAAATCTATATCGTAATATATCGAATATATCGTATATATATATATATATATATCGTAACGTTTATCGGTAGAGCGAACATTTTGCCTCAGCAAGCATTTTTCTGTAAGGCGCCTTTCTCTTAGAGCATCACTTTCTAGCAACCATACTCTCTCTCTTTCGTATTGTCTCTATTTCTGCTCCTATATCCCCCGTATATATATGTTCTTAAGTTCTATACCCTTTGGAGTTTGCACGATTTTTGGATTATTTTGTGTTTGTCTTTGCCACGTTTGCAAATTCAATTTGCCAATTAAAAATTCGCAAAGCAGAAATCGAATGGAATTTTAAAAATTGATTTTGCATGCCACCTTTTCACCACCATCACAGACAGAAAACATACCCCAGCATTTATTTTTCTCCTTTAATAATGCATTTTTCAAGAAATTAACACAGGATTTTTAGCGAAAATGTAGCTTCATAAATACGATGAGAATTTCTTCTCCGAAAATTCTTCGTGTGCACACACAAATACCGATTTAACAAAAATTTGCATAAAAATATAGCAAATCGAATTTTTAATTGCACATTTGGCCAAACCAAATTTTTAATTTGTGGCTAAATGTTGCCCCAACCGCCACAATGATGTTCCCCAAAATATTATTTTATACACATTTCAATTATGGTTTCTGCACTGATTTTCAATGATTTTCAAACGAAATGTCACAATGCAGGGCTAAGCCTATTGGCAAGCTTTATAGCCTTCGGTATTTGTGGTACTTTCTCACAAAATTTTAATTTTTAGGCCTGCCATCATTATAAATTGAGTGATAAAACCGCTCGTGGAATTAATAAAAGTACAATTGAACTGCGGCTCTTGTGGTGCCATTTCACTTTAATGGCGATTTATTTTGGTTGCCGAAAGGGATATTTATTTAAATATTTATTTATTTGACGAAACAAAGGGCAGCTTTTTCTCGCCTTTTCCTCCACGCTTTGCCTGCAATGTATCACCATAGCAGAACGAACAGCTTATTAGTTTCACTTATTAGCAAACGAGTTCTGCTTTCAGAAAGAATCTTCCTTTATAAGTTTCTTATTTTTGTTTTTAAGTTTTAAACACACTTTACCCAGCATGTAAGCTCATATTTTCACCTTTCCAGGAAAACCCATTCCATCCTCTACAAAAATCCTGAAACTATCATCTCCCCGCTATCTCTTTCCACTTTAAGCACTTGGTAAATGTTCTTGCTAGTTTTAAATGTATTTCGAGAGGTGCAAGGGGTTAAACGAACAATTAAATGTATTTATATATATATTTACCTTAATGCTTTTTAACACAAAATCTAAAACCCCAAAAACACACACACAGCAAAATGCAATGAGTTGTTGAAAAACGTCGCATACGGTACATATTTGGATGTATGTACTTATGCCTATATATCTACCACTGTACTAAAGATCGGTCTAATGTTTTTCGTATTGTTGACAATGATATAATATCTCTATATATATACATATTATGCAAATATAAAATGCAACTACTGCGTAGCATTATTTCTTGGTAATTCAGTGTTCTATAATGTTAAGTATGTTTCGATATGAGAAAAACCCATTTACATATGTATGAGCCACACACACGTATGTCTTATGTATTGTTATATGTATATACCGAACCAACAACATCATCTCAGCGCTATAAAAATGAAATATGAAGCCTAGAATTTGCCATATATATACTATATATACTCTACTATATAAATATTTACTTATATATCAAAGAGAGAAAACTAACCGCATGCGTTTTATGTTCTTTTCTTTTCCTTTTCTACTTTTTGCACACGAATAAACACATGAACATACATAAATATATAAACAAACATACACTGGTCAAACCAAAATATATAAACAAATACAAAATGTTGTGTCGAATCGTTGCAAAAAAAAAAAAACAAAACAAAAAACCTATCTTAACCGATAAACTATCGCCAAAAACAAAACAAAAACGATTTTTGGTTGTTTCTTGCGTGGGTTAAAATTGCGATATGCGATATATCCTCCTGCAGCCGCCGTTGCCGCCGCCATGCGTGGAGTGGCCATCCAGCGCGGACATGTGGGCGTGGTCGGCGCCAGTCCCTATCATCATCCCCATCACCCGCACCATCATCTGCTAGCGGCCTCCGCCGCCGCCGCTCAGCAGCAGCAGCAACGCCAGGTGGCCGCCGCCGCCGTGGCTGCAGCAGCCGCCCAACAGCAGGTTGCCGCCCATCATCATCAGCAGCAGCAGCAGCAGCAGGCGCAGCAGCAGCAGGCCATCTCCGCCGTCGCTGCCGCCCAACAGCAACAGCAGCAGCAACAGCATCAGGTCTCGGTCTCCCAGCAGCAGCAACATCAGGTGGCCGCCGCCCAGCAGCAACATCAGCAGCAACAGCAACACCAACAGCAGCAGCAGCAGCAGCAACAACAACAGCAACAGGTCGCCGTCGCCCAGCAGCAACATGCAGCCGCAGCCGCCGCCGCCGCTGCAGCCGCCTCGCATCCGCATGCTGCCCATGTCCATGCCGCCCATGCCCACGCCCTTGGCCCCCAGTTGGCGCAACTCCAGGCCGTTGCCGTGCCCACCGCTGCCGCCCAGCAGCAACATTCGGCATTGCAGCAATCATTGGCCGCCGCCGCTGCCGCTGCAGCCGCTGCCCAGAATCAAGGAGGAGTTGCTGGTAATCCGAACGCTGCTGCCGCCGCCGCCGCCGCCTATGCCGCCCGTCTCTCAGCGGCGGGCGCCACACAATCACCGCAAACGGCCGCTGCTGCTGCGGCTGCTGCTTCCATGGCTGCGTCGGCTAATGCGGCCAACAGTGCTGCCGCCCTGCATGGATTCGCGCCGTAAGTAAGAGTTGAGCACTGAGCGCTGAGCGACTCCGGAACCGGAACCGGAAACGGAAACGGAAGCGGAAGCGCCGGAGTGGCCGCGACTCTTCGCCACTCGTCGTCACCCATCCGTTGTCGTCGCAAACCCGCGATTCCGCTGTAGTTTGTGTTTGCCGTAGATAGAAATGTCACCTTTAGTTTGTACTTTAGTTGGTTTCCGCTGCGCCATTTTGATTTGATTTTGAATGTAGTTCTTAATCTTAGAGCACCTAATACCCATAGCCCATCAAACTACGTTTATACGCACGCCCTAGTTACGAATTATGTATATATATTTTCATGGATGTTGCACTTGAGCAGAGCTTTTTTGGGTTTTCAAGCTGATTTTATAGTTATAAAAATCCTTACTAAACAAAGCCACAGGTATATATGGATATCTAGTTTAATGCAAATAAATCCTACGGAAATGGATAACCTTAAAAATAAATTTGGTTTGATAAATACTTTATTTTCCAAGGCTTTTAGATCTTTTGTTTCTAAAACAAACACATTATTAGTTGGAATTTAAAAATATAACACAAAATGTAACTAAATATTAAAGGAAAAATCTCCACTTCATTTTGTTTCGATATGTTTTCATAAATATTATATATTAAATCAAACTTAATAAAAAATTAAATATTAATTTTGCTCTGCAAGTAGCTGGCGTATAAACGTAGTAAAAAAATCCATAATTGTACAATACTTTCTTTAACTTTAGGGTTTCTTTTTGTGCTGGCTTACACAGAAAGAAATCTCTGTCATTTGTCATAATTTTAACCCGCAGCTGCTATTGTTTATATATATAGCTTATAGACTATGTTTTTCCTACCATCTCTCTCTATCTCTCTGTGTTACTCTATCTGTCTCTCTATTCTTGTTGGTGAACAATGTTTTTTTTAGCTATCTTGTGTGTGTAAAGTTTTAATATCGCATATTAATGAAACCTATAGTCTTTGACCTATTTTGTATAAATCAAGCAAATAGACGAACGAAAAAACTTGAATACAAAATTGCTAAATGCAAAAAAAATATAAAACGCAGCAACCGATTAACGCACGCTAAACACACATCACATCCACGTAAAAAAAACCTATATATAACTCTATATATATATACACATTATATATATTTGATCATACCTCTTTTGACTAACAGCAGTGTTTTTTGGCATCGTTCAATTGACCTACTTATATATTTATGATTATTTTGGTTAAGGGACCTTACCTACCAACCGTCGATTGTATATTGTGTACCACTAGGCGTATGATGAATTTCGATTTAAAAATTTGAATTTGACTTGAAAGTGTCGCGCCCTGCCAGCGCCTTGCGTGCATGTTCTGCCCCCCCAAACATTACACTACATCTATATATCTCTCTCTCTCAATATAAATATATAGACCTTTGATTAACATATTCTTTTGTGGCTGCTCTCTCTCTCTACACACACACTCACCCCAACACACACCATATAGCGTATGAATGAATGCTCCATTAAATATTGTATACTTATAAAAAACACACATCAAAAACACACATTGAAACAACAAGCAAGAAAAAAAATTAACTAATTAGCTAGGTGCATGAGTGTCTGTTCTGTCTAAAGATTAAATGCAAACAACCATATTTTTTTTTCTTGGAAAGCAAGCAACAGCAAGACAATTTTCCGTAGTGTTCTTTTTTGGGGAATGGAGTATGGAATGTGATTGGTTAATATTGGTTGGTTGGCTAACATTGCTGCTAGTTAATCTCTATAAAATGAACGACAACCTCTATATATATAGTATAATCCTTATAATTTCCCTTTCTTTCGTTTCCTCTGTCTCAACATCTCCTCCTTCTCCACCACCAATCAGTTCGTCATCCAGTGGGGAATCAGGTCAGATCAGGTCAGTTTTTCACAGCACAGGCTATTAGTTAGTACTTACGATATATATAGGATAGGTTAGGGTTAGGGAACTCTCCCGTATAGGTGCCCAGAATTTACTAAATATATTTTCAGTTTCCCACAAAAACAATAAACCACATTTAATATTGAAAACTAAACATGAAAAAAGCCCAAATGAAACCTGAACCGGAAGTGGATAAAGTTTATTTTTATTGGCCCAATGAAATGACAAACAAAGCAAACTTTATCCCGACCGAAACAAAAAAAAATCTTAAAAAACCACACAAGTGCGTTAAAAAAAAATATATGAACCAAAAAGAACAATTTTTGAATTTTGCTTTTAAGTGACATAAATTGAGTGAGAGGGGAACCAAGGATCCGAAGGGTTTTTGGATTTCCTCTCACATCTATCTTTCTCTTCCACCTCTACTTCCCAGATACTATGCCCCCGTATAACTATATGATTTATTAATAAATATATTTTTCTATTGTCTTGTTCTTTCCCTCCCCAAAAAAATCGCAGTGTATACTATGATCCCTTCTTAGCAGCCGCTGCTTCCGCTGATCCGAATCTACGCTTCCAGGTGAGTTTCATATGCAAAATAAATAATATAATACCAAACCGTATTACAACTAGGATATAGTATTATCATGTTAGGTTAGATTATAAGTTATATATTATAATGCTAAAACCCCCTAACTACTCTTACTCTCTTGTCATGACAAATATACATGAAAATATTATATAAATTTTACAGGCAGCCAAACCGGTCACTGAAGTTCCAGCCGCTCAGCCAGCCGCCATATTAAATGTAATAAAACTTTTGTCAAAACTAATATTGCTAACCTCACAAAACAAAACCACAAAAATGAGAACTTTAAGAACGATTCAACTTTATAATTTGTATATTTTTGATGATGGTAGCTTGTGCAAAACAAAACACCGATTGAGTTTTGACTTGGTTTTTGGAACAATCGTTTTTACCCACTACTCTCTCATACCGTACTCTATATTTGTTTTATAAGTCGCCTTATTTGAATTTCCCTTATGCATTTGTCCACCATTATCCATTATCCCGAACTAACCAACGGCGAGTCCGTATTTGTTGCTGTTTAAGTTGAGAATCGAACTTGGTAACAACACTTTATTTCCTTAATTTGTCGTAAGCCACTCGCTGGAGGCTTAGCTAAGCTTAATTAACTCAATGTCTGTTAACTGGAACTTGACTCTGAACACTTGTGTATAAGCTCTCTACTATTATATAACTGCATCCTTTGTTTTGGTTTGAGCATTTCCAAACTTGCCGATATTTTTGGTTTGGTTTTCTTTACAAACAATCAATTAGTGACCACAGAAGAAGGCTAAACGCTCTGGTTAATCCTATTCTTTCTGCTAGTTTTCTTAATTTGTTATCACATATTCTTGCTTTCGCTGAATAATCTTATCTATATATATATATACATTTATGATATTCAATGCTGTAAACATTTTGTAATTACTACAAAACTCTTCTTTGGTTTATCTTTCACGACTGTCACAACAACATACTGAACAACGAATACTCAACAATTATCACAACAATTTCAATTCAACAACACTATTGAAAAACTATATAAAAACCATAAATTACAGCGCCGCACTGTGACTACGCTAAACAGTAACCCACATACGATCAACCGCATTCCGGTTCCACAGAATGTTTTGGTAAAAATAATCATATCTAGCTCCTAGTCAAATTCCAACTGCACCTACTTTATAGATATATCTATCTGTATTCCCCCTTGAACTTACGTTTGATTGTTGTCACACCATATAAGTTTCTTCTTCTGTCATTTCGTTTATGCGTTTCAATTATATTTAATGTATGCACCTGACTAATAATCTTGTATGTCTATTATGCCATAAGTCCTAAGTTAACCCATAGTTTATAATCGAATACGCTAAGTTATTTACTGTTACGAGCCTCGCTTTTCGGTTTTGGTAGCCTGGCATCTTGGGTTCTCTCTCCGTAGCTCGGTTTTAAAGGTTATACCTAAGTGTACATAGAATATTACTACACCTTACACACTGACCGCCCTCCCCAGCCACTTGTTTTTTGCACCCCGTTAATTTCTTTGGTTTTGATAACTCGATTATATTATCTATCTGTGTGTGTGTGTGCGTACTCCACCGGTTTGGGTTCCTAATTTTTTGCTCACCACACATGCTCCTCCCCCTCCTCCTCCTCCGCTAGTCTTGTGTCGTTTGCCGTTGTCACCGCCCAAACCCCCCGCTCTAAGAGAAACCCAGATCCAGTTCGCAGATCCAGGTCCAGACCCATACACCGATCCCGAACCCGATCTGTGACTGCGTCTGTTCTCCGCGCGAGAAAGCCCTAGTTTAATGTCCTCTGCTTACCGCTCTTCCAGGCCACTGCTCCGCTGCTAAAGACACCGCTGTCTCAGGCCCAGCAGCAGGCGTACGCCACGGCGGCCACCACCTACACGGCGGTAGCTGCCCGGGCCGCCTATGGAGCCGCTGCAGCAGCAGCCGCCCAGCCGGCACTCGCCGGCTATGCCACCGTAGCTGGGTAAGTTTTTAATCAAGCGAAAGTGAGGTCTCTGTTTGAGAGTAAGCTTTTGAAGGCTGAATTTGCATTTGGAATTTGAATTTAATAGAGGTTTTTATTGGGATTTTATAACGTTAAAATCCTTTTGAAAAATAAAATGGAGTCAACTTTCTGGATAGGCAATCATCGCCATAAACTTGTTTCATCAATTGAAACGTTGCGGTAAAAGTTTTACCAATTTTAAAACAAAATTTAATGTTGGCTCTTTGTTCGAAGCTCATTTTCGTACCGATGACAAAAACATACTGACACTTAAAACGCAATAACCTCACTTCCAATAGATGAAATGTCATGAAATTTTTACTGGAAGTCGATAAAGGATAGCAGATTCTAACGCACCAGTTGACATATAGATGGCGCCACTAGATGACGCTAGATTCAAAAAGTCCTGTTTACTTTGGAACGCACCTTGTATAACGTTAAAAATCCTTTTGAAAAATAAAATGGAGTCAACTTTCTTCTTGCAAATTTATGCCGAAAGCAAGTGTCTTGACAGTCCCGATCACAAAGCAATCATACCAAATTTTAACCCATTACTAGATTTAACAAAATACGATGTCTTCAGTTGGAATATTGTAAATACAAGTCTTAGGCTTCTAACAAGTATTTTCAAAAGACTTCTAATAATTTCTAAGAATCTTATAAAATTATAGTGAGGTTTAGTATTTTAAGTTAATGTCTGAATAATATTTAGCGTATCTTTATTTAAATTTATTTAAAATTATACTCAATTTGCAATTCCTCTGTAAAAATGGTAAATGCCAAATCCTAAGTATTTATTATTATTTGAAGTCATTAAAACTTCTTAAGTTACTTATGTTGGTAGCACTTTTCTATACTCTCTGTATTATTATTTTCTACATTACTATTTATACTGTATTTTATTATTTGTATATAACTAAGTCATTTTTATATTTTAAGTATTTTTTAAGTATCTATTATTTTATTTACTGTATTTGTATTTCATTTACATTAGCTGGAATTATCTAACCTTTCTACTTATTTTTATTTTTATTATAAAAAAAACCTTTCCTTACAGCGAATTTGTTTATTTAACAGATTTTTATTTCAATATTTGTCTAATTATTTTAATTTACTCTTTTCTTTTCGTAACATTTCCCTTATCCTGTGTGTAATTGTTTAAAGTGTAGAAATCTAAAACTGGAAACTGAAGATGTACAATTGTTGATAGACCAATTTTGCAAAACACTTTTTAAACTTAACAAGTATGGTTAATTGTATATAAATAAGAATTGACAAGAAGACGAGCAAAAAAAAATTAAATAACTAAAAAACCAACTGGAATCATCAACTAACAAACTCATCCCAAAGACTAAAACAAAATAATTTCATCAAATTCACACCTGAGACTTACTAATAAGATAAATGAATCAAATATTTATAGATATGCGCGCGAGTATGCAGATCCTTATCTAGGACATGGCATTGGACCAGTGCCTGGCTATGGGGTAAGTGTCCTTTTACACTTTGATTTTAGGACTGCTAAAAATAAAGATACTAACGAAGTAGGATACTGTAAAATTTTACTAATTATATTATTTATTTTCTTCCTAATTTTTCCTTATAGGCAACCATGTATCGCGGTGGCTTCAATCGTTTCACGCCATATTAAGAACAATCTATGCCAGTCAGCCAAATAATGCACTCGAACTACTCTCGACGAAAAAATGCTCAATAATAATATTAATAATATGAACAACAAGCAGCAAGCAATGCGAATAAGTTAGTAACTTAGACGTAAATACTCCTCTCCCTACGATGCAGTAAGTAGAAGTTACAACCAAAAACTAAACCGATAGATGCAAGATACTCAACACACACAACAACAACAACAACAACAACAGCCAGAGACAGGAGCCACAAGAACAAAATCCTTGGACCTTGGAGAGTTGAAAATCAAAGCTAAGCAACAAAGAAACAAAACTAAAAACAAAAAACATAAACAAATCAATGTCGTCCAGTAAAAGCAAAAAAAGCTAAACCAAAAACAAAAATATACGCAGCTAAACGCAGTTCTATGGAGTTTATTTAAGTAAACCAAACATAAAATTAAAAAACTAAAATTCAAATTGCAAAATAGTTTTGCAGAAAAGGATGAAAAAAGAAGATGAGAAGAAGAATGTGCTTCATGCGTAGATTTTTACCAGAACAAAAAGCTGAAACTTTGTGTGCGGCCGATCAGAATTTATATGTATACATATACCGACATGATATATAGTTATTATATATAGGGCATTGTATTTGTATATCAAAAAGCAAACCCGCTAAAAAAAAGTGAGCAATGTTTTTAGGTACTCTTCATCATCGTCATAAAAAAAAAACAATTCAAAAATAACTAAACTCAATATATTTTTAAAGCCCTTGGTTGTTGATTTCATAAATTCGTTGAACTAAGTTAGGTCCTTATGATTTATTCTAAAAAAACAATTAGCACTGTAGGTTGTAGTAAGACGGGAAAGCAAGAAAACATTAACAAAATCAAAAAGTGTATATTATTATTTGCAAAACAAACTAAAAAATATATATATATTTATACGTATGTAATTTTAGATTGATATTTCTAATTTGATTACCCCAAAGAATACTCATTTCTGTATTGTATTGTATTGTCAACGAATTTATTTTTAATGCGTTGCTTGGTTGTTCCTAATACATTATATACATATATATTTTTTCGGCAGCTAATTAACCACTCAACACTCACACACACTCGAACTCAACGCGGAAAACTCGACTCAATTCGAATTGCTCAAAAAACCATAAATTGTAGCGCATAGGTAAATGCAAAAAGATCAACACGTAGACATATCCTTGGAATATACAATAATATTTACTTTAAATGCCGCCATAGCAGCAAAAAGCGAGAAAAACCTAAAAAACAAATTAAGAAAAAAGAGAAAAACCCCAAAAAAAGAAATATTTATATATATATATTAGTTTTAACAAAGGAAAAAGGTCAAGCTTCCAGTGACACAAAAAAGAGCCATTGATGAATGATGTGGAAATCGAATAATAAGCATTAAAAATTACAATTTTTAGCTCTTACTCCGTAGCACTTTCCTTGTGTGTTGTGTAAAAAAAAATGAAAAGATTAGTAACAAATAAGAAGCAAATCGTTTCGATGTTGTTCTTTTTCGGTCTAGACCGAAGCCAGAAACTTCCCTAAGCAACTAAGAATTTATTTTATACACACACACACACACACACTCGAATCTAATGCACAAAAAGCAAAACCAAGAAACACTTTTAACGTTGTGTATTTTTCAAATGTTAAATGATTAAAATGCTCAAACAAAAAAGGGACGTCCTCTGTCGTTCTCTATATATTTGATTTTAAGGCAGCTACTGTCGTCAAAAAACAAATTTATACTAGTTGTTTATCAACCATACTATGCTATGAAAAAAACAAAAACAAAAACAAACAAAAAGCAAGCTACTAATTAATTGTGTGTGTGTAATCGTGCAATTCTTTAAGTGTTCTTCTTCGAAAAAACCTACTAAAAACAAACTAAATTGAAACGAGAGAGGGACTCGTGTCCAAAGAGCTTCAACTTTGATGGTGTTTCCTTTACCTTTATTTTTTCGAATCTAATCACTTAGCAACTGTCTCAGATTGTACATATTTACGATGACACAATGATATATGATATATGATATATGATATTTTATTTAATTCCTCTCAGACACGCACACACAATGGCATAGCAACGCAGACAGGCTAAGGTCCTTGAGAGAACTCTAATAAGCAATTAATGGCATCATACTCACACACTTGTGTACTTTTCGTTTCTCATAATTACACAATTACTGCATTGATATATACATATTTATGTGTATATATATATCTATTTTTACGTTGACATTTTCAAAGCCAAAGTTTATATTTTAAATGATTTTAGTTAGGTATATACATATTAGTTTAGATGCTGACGACAGATAGACGGAAAGGCAGACACAGGAGGATAAGATAAACGAGTATATAACGACAAACAAAAAAAAAAAAAACAATAAAGAAAATGAGAAACAAAACAAATCGAACCCAACAATTGCCAAATTAAATGTAGCTTTCAAGTGAATTATAATAATAATAAAGACGTAATTAAATTTAATGAATTTTTCAAATAGCGCAAAATAGTTTGCCAAAAAGCATAGCATACTTTTTGGCCCCACTCCCCAGATCACACACTCACACACTGACAGAACATTTTGGGTTTGAAAAGGAGCGCAGAGCCAGGCAAGATCTAGTTATAAAGCAAAACTTAAATATAATAATACGGTACGGTATATACATTTAAATTATGAACTCAACTTCCACCGCAAACTTTTAAAAAACGAACAAAACAAAACAAAAAACCAAAACTATAAGGAAAACACAATTTTTGTCTTAAGCAATGTGAGCGAGGAGCAGGAGAAGTCAGCTCACGAGTAAATTAAACAAATAAATGCAAATGCAACTCAATCAAACACTGCAGCTATATGGTAGCCTACGATATATGATGTATATGATATTGTAAACACCTCATTTAACTCGATTCGATCCTGTTTTTTTATGTGACAAGAAATCCCCGCAGGAAAATCTGTAATCTGTGTAGTCTAACCGTAAGCCAGCGCCAGCTTTTTTGTTTTAAATTTCACACATAGATCAGGCGCTTGTGCGTCGCATAAAGTATAAATATAAAGTATATAATATATATATATATTATATGGAAACTCTAATCTTTAATGATGTGCCAAATTGTAAGTTGTAACATTTGTTTTTATGAGCAAATGCAAATACACAAAAATTGAAATAAAAATATGAATTAAAAACAACAAAAAAAAAGCATAAAACATTGAAAATAGCATTCCTCCTTTTACTTCCCCCACAAAAGGAAATATTTGGCAAATTACTTTTCATTTTTAAAAACTTAGAAGGTAATGTAACAATATTTTTTAAATTTAGCATTGTGTATAGGAACGGGGCGTGGCTGCTCACAAAAAGTAATTAAATAATGGCCAAGCCAAGAGCCGCCACCTTACAATACAAAATTGATGGCAGAAGAGAGAGAGACGATAACCAAAAGTATTATTACCATTATATTAGCAACAATTGCAGAACAAAGCCAGCCCAAACACAAACCAAAAGGTAAATCCCCGCTCAAATTTCATTTATTTGATGTATGACAAATACCAAATACCTTCCGGTATTGAATGAGAATTTTCAATAACAAAGCGTACGTACACACACAGAAATTCCGAAATTGTATTTGGTTTATATATCAATTTTCAATTTGTAAGGTTGTGACAAATTGTAAACAAACATAGAAACAAAAAGAGATAAAACAAAACCCATGAAACATGAAACACACAAAACCATGGGCAATCACTTGCAGAGAAAATGTAATATTGTTTGTGAATGTGCAAATAACAAAAAAATAAGGCAAATAGCAAGTGAGGACAACGTTTGAGATTCATACAGAATACATTTTGAAAAGAAACGCCACAGTGAGAGAGAGAATGAACGAGAGAAATGCAATAAAAACATAACTTTAAAAAATGCAAAATAATCGCAAACCATTGTGTTTTTATTTACTCCATAAATTATGCCTATATTTTGCCATCCTGAAAGACCCTAATGGAGCATTTAGCCAGCCTTTAGCAGGACACAATCAATCATGGTTTTTGGCGAGTGCAAAACATGGACCGGAAATAGCTCACACCTTTGTGAAACAAAAGCCTTTCTTTCGTCTAACAACTCACACACACGCACAGGTAAAAATCTCCATCAATCATCAATTTAACCATCCTAGGCAGTTTTTCTTCATTATTCCAAAAAGTCTGGGGCCAGCACTGGTAATTAAAGTTGATGGGGCAGCCATTTGCATGCAAGTTTATTACAATGCAACCGCAAACATTTAACACCTCTAAGCCCCCGAGAGTGCTGCGACATGCAAACGCTATTAACGTGATTAAATCAAATGGCTCCATACCACTTGAGGCCTGCTGGCCCGACCGGCCTGTAATTATACAAATTTTCGCATTTGATTGAGGAGGCCGTCAACATTGGACACTCGGCATGACATTTCTGAGGTAACGCCCATGGTGATAGCTACATAACAGACATATTTACATATGCGTTTAAATAAATAGTAGCTTGTGGTTTTATGGAGGTAATGTTATTTACAGAATATGGTAAGTAGTAATCAGCTTTATTTTCATTGGAAAATATTTCTAAAATGTTCCCTTAAATATGTGATATAATTTGACCCAAAATCGGAGTGCAAAAACATTATTTGATAGACAAACAACTATCACCAAAATTCCCTATTATTTTGAACCCATCTGTGCGTGTGTAAATAGAGCAATACAGACATGGTTCTGTTTTTAAATGGGCCACGTCAAACCGACGACCGCAGGAAGTAATCGTTGCTGCTGGCCTGGCCCATGGTTTTCATTCGGTTCGCCCCACAGTTTTGGGTTTTGCGGCAGGGACAGCGGCCACTGTGTGACATAATAAATTATGCTGCATTGCGATGATTAATTCTGGATGTGCGCAACATGACAGCTTCGGGTGGGAGTGAGTGAGTGAGTGAGTGTCGTGCCCTCAAATCGAATGCATACGGAATTAATAGCACTAACATTCGGAATTAGCCAGTCCCAACTCCCAACTCCCATCTCCAATTTGCCATCTTGCAGCCGGAAAATCTGTGCGGTGGCAGGCTGCCCTGGGGCCATTGGCTTTCTTCTCCCTATCTATCTCCATTTGAATGGGGCGCCCCAAAGGGGCCCCCATGAATTATTACGTGCAATTATTTTCTAATTAATTATTTGACAGCCCAGCGAATGGCATGCCGTAGTGCGATAATTTTTTTTTCGGGGCACAATTGGCCATTCGATATGGCCGCGTAATGGGGCGCCATTAAATTGGTGCGGTCCGGTCTGGTCTGGGTCCCTTTTGGCTTTCTCCTTTGGTCGCCGTCGAATGCGGCCAAAAAACACTTTTGCGTTGCCAGTTTGATATAAGGAGATACTTAAATATGTAGGCTAGGAGTTGGAAGTTGGAGTTGGGAGAAAATAATAGAGAAGTCCTGTGATTTCCGGGTAAGTTAACCAAGCCCAAACAGCAGATGTTACAGCATGAATTATGCTTGGAATTAAATTGGAATCAAATTTGTTTTACTGATTATGCGGAGTCTGCAGTATGCTTTTGCCTAAATTAGTCTAGCGTTAATTAAGTAGAGATTTAATTTATGGCCTTTATAAATTTTTTAAACAAACTTTAGTTCTTTAACCCGGTAAATAACTACAAATGATAAGTAAAGAGAAAGAACCCTTTGTAAAATATA